ACAGGTTCGGGTGTTGGATTCCTGGTCCATATCTAATGGTGCTATTTTGGGAGTCTCTCTCTCCTCTCTCTCTCTCTCTCCTCTCTTCTCTCTCTCTCTCTCTCTCTCTCTCTCTCTCTCTCTCTCTCTCTCTCTCTCTCTCTCTCTCTCTCCCTCCCACACACACACACACATAAGCCCACTGGTATGATGTTCTGCTTTACAATGAGCCCAAAACCATGGAATCAAAGAATCATGGAATGAACCCTCTGAAACCATGAGTCGAAATAAATCCTTCCTTCTTCTTAGGATTGTTTAGCACAAATATTTGGACACAGCAATGAGAAAAAAAATACCAATACATTCACATCATTATTTTAACAAATATTCATAGAGCCTATTCTGTGGCGTGCTGGGAATGCAATGGTAAGACCAATGGGTATAGTTTCTGTTCCATTGAAATGAAAGCTGTAGAGGATGTGGCTATAAATCAAACACCTATATAAAGTTGCAAACGTCATTAAGGCTATGAGAAAATGTATAGGATGATTTAAGAGTATTTGGTAACAAGGTATTTGTTTATTTGTATATTTGTTGAAGTTAGATAGGGACGTCTCTCTAAGGAAATGTTCCTTGAGCCAAACACTGAAGACTGAGGATAAATTAACCTAATTGAAGAAGCTATAGAAATGCTTCCCAAACAAAGGACAGATCATGTGCAGAATTCTGGACTGGAATATGCAAAGAATTGAAAGAAGATCATTGTGGCCAAAGCCTGGGGCTACATGGTTTAAGATGTAATGATGGAAATTTCCCTGGTAGTTTAGTAGTTAGGATAAGACATGAGGAAGAAGACTGGCCTTGATGAGGATGATGGTCCTTAGCCTGAGAGCAATAAAAAGCTGGATACAGCCTGAAAGTATGATTACATTTACATATTGAAAAATGTGCCTTCAGCTGGGTGTAGTGGCACACACCTTTGATCCCAGCAAGCACTCAGGAGGAAGAGGCAGGCAAGTTCAGGGCCATCCTGGTTTACATTGTGAGTTCCGGGACAGCTGGGGCTGCAGGGAATCCCTGTCTCAAAAGGACCAAAAAGAAAAAAAGAAAAAGAAAAGGTGCCTTCAACTAAATGTTAAAATTAAATGAAAATAGATATTGCGATGGTTAGTGTTTCAACTTGACAGAATCTGCACTCACCTGGGAGAAGGGTCTCTGCGTGTGCCCACCGGGGATTATCTTTATTCTGTTACTTGAGGTGGGAAGACCTGCGGACTGTTGATGGATCCCACTCCCAGGACTGAGAAACTGGACGGTACAAAGTAAAGAAAACAAGACCTAGCAAGCATGCTTCACCCCTCTCTGTTTCCTGATTGTGGATACGCTATGATCAGCTGCTTCAAGCTCCTGCTACCTTGACTTCCCAACATGATGTAGTATACCTTGAACTGTGAGATAAAACAAGCCTTTCCTCCCTTAATTTTGTCAGAGTATTTTATCATAGAACAGGAAAAGAAACTAAGAGAGACATCTATCATCACAACAAGAGGAATTTCCTGTTATAGTTAAACCATTCTTTTAAAAGAAGGAGATTGGGTAATTAGGTGATTTGCAAGTAAAAATGATTGCCTGCATCACTGAACAGTCACTTAAACTTTTTTTGGTCTATGGGAAATGAAGACAACTTGAATGTTTGTATTTCAGTAGCGCCAGCCTTTTGATCTTCTCAGTGTCTCTCTTTCAATGGCAGATGTGTTTAGATAAAAGTTTATTCACAGACAATTTTGGCGAGCCACTTACTCAACTTGTTTTTCAACCTGATATTTTCCACATATAAAATATTTTACTCAGACAGAAGACAGGTGGTAATAAAATACAGCTATTTGATTTGAAAATCAAAACTATCCAGAAATAAATTATTTTCAAAGATTAAATGCCAACAATCCAATTGGTAGATTGACTGTCCATAAAATAGGCTTAAGTTAAAGAAATAATACTCTTGGGCTCCTTTATTTATTCATGTTCCTTATGATGGCACCAAAACCATAAAAGGTCTAGAACAATGGTTCTCAACAATGGAGATTTTGTTTCCTCAAGAGACTTTTTGGATGTCATATCTTCTGACCAAAAAAAAAAGGATTAGGGTACTGCTAGGAGAATGTATGGAGAGAGCAGAAACGCCACTAATATTGAATGTCCTACAATACACGTAACAGACCTTCTCAGCTTCAAGCAACAAAGGCTATCCAAGCCAAGAGGTTAAACTCTCTGCCTAGAAGTACATTAATCCGTAAATTCCCTTCACCTGTGCTCCATGTCACAGTTTACACCTCCTCCTCCTCCTCCTCCTTTGCCTTCTACTCCTCTTCCTCCTCTTTCTCCTCCTTTTTATCTTCTCTTCCTGTTTCCTAATTTGCATAGTGTACAATCTGACCCCTGTGAACACCTCTCTTTATATACCCCTACCTTTTGTATTTTACTCTTACCTTCTCATGACTAAAGCTTGCCTTTAAGAAAGCATATTAAATTGGATTCTACTAAGTCATTGATTGAGCAAAATAGCTCTTAGAGCTCCTGCTTTGCCAGAGGGTTTCCCCAGATACTCCAGAAACATTTTTGAAAAAGATCTCATGGTATAATGTTAAAATATCATCCACCACATCTAGCCAGTCTGCTAGCCTCTGCTGGGATAGTCCCACGTAATTAAACTTCATTTCTGAGCCTGCCTATCTTTCGTTATATGTTTCCAACTGTTCAGAAATGCTTTTGAGGGGCTGGAGAGATAGCTCGGTGGTTAAGAACGCTGACTGTTCTTGCAGAAGACCCGGGCATGGTATAATGTTAAAATATCATCCACCACATCTAGCCAGTCTGCTAGCCTCTGCTGGGATAGTCCCACGTAATTAAACTTCATTTCTGAGCCTGCCTATCTTTCGTTATATGTTTCCAACTGTTCAGAAATGCTTTTGAGGGGCTGGAGAGATAGCTCGGTGGTTAAGAACGCTGACTGTTCTTGCAGAAGACCCGGGCTCGAATCCCAGCACCCACATGGCCCCTAACAACTGTCTGTAACTCCAGTTCCAGGGGATCTGACAGTCTCTTCTGACCTCCACGGACATTGCACGACACGGGTGCACCTACCTACATGCAAACAATACACCCATACACATTAAATAAAAATAAGGGACTGGAGAGATGTCTCAATGTTTAAGAACATTGGTTGTTATTGCAGAAGACCCAGGTACGAATCCCAGCACCCACATGGCAGCTAACAATTGTCAGTAACTCCAGTCCCCTTCTGACCTCCACAGGCATTGCACGACACAGGTGCACTTACCTACGCCTTATCACTCTTCATTCATTTCTGTCCCCCCTCCACCAAGCAAGCAGCTTTTTACACATGTAAATTTAATCCTGGTGAGCCCTGGTTTATAATAATAGACCCCAGTAGCTTCCACCACTACTGTGTACTGTTTTTATCGGACCTTTCACAATCTCCTCCTGCTCTACTGTCTCCCACTTCACCAGTTTCATCTTAGGTCATTCATCCTTCCTCCTCTTCCCAACCACCTGGATTCTCTCAGTCCTTTGAGCATGCTATGTTCTGTTCCGGTTCAGACATTCCTTCTGGATCCTTCCCTGCTTGGCATGCTGGTCTCTTTACTTAAGTAACCTCTACTTATCGTTCAAGTCTCAGCTCATCATTTCTCAAAGAAAGCTTCCTTGACTCCAGTCTAGGTGTAGAACACAGCACTCTTGCAAGTACTTCATTATGTCTGTATAACCTTTCATTTACTGTTAAAGTTGGCCTTCTCTGCCAGAGTGGGTTTTCAGAAAGAACTTTGCATTATAAACTACTAAAACACTTTTGATCTTTTCTTCTTTGTAACTGTTATGGACCTAATACTTCCTCTAAGAAAAGGGTAGACTTGGGCACACTTGAAAATAATTCTGGCTTCTCACTTTAGAATTATACAATGAATCACATTTATGAATCCCAATATAAAGTCATTCTGGGTGCTATGTTCTCCTCGAAGTGGGTACCGCACATCTATTATGCTCCAACTCGTGTTCTGAGCCCTCTTCCCTCCAGTCATGCAGTAGCTATCAGGTGGTGCACCACAGCTGCTCTGTATCTCTAGCCTTCAGTCCTGAGACTTTTATAATGCACTGTGAGACACCTGAGGGTATGTGCGGCTTAGAAGTTTAAGGGATTTAACATTCTTTGGAGCAATGCTCGGTCAATGATTGCTACAAATAATGTTTTGCACCAGCCGTACTGCCTTGGGCAGGCTATTCTGAAGTGTGCCCTGTGTCTGCCTGGTTTGAGCCATAGATATCTACAATGACAATCAACTCAATAACATGTTTCTAATTGGCTTTCCTAAGTCTCTCACTCATACTCTCAGGGACCACATCTAAAATAAACTACCTGTTTGTATAAACCCTTGCCTTGGGCTTTCATTCTGAAGGAGACTTAGTCTAAGACAATGATATTGGATGTTGTAGGAGTCTGCAGCAGCAGCTATTTAATCACATAGCAAGTGAATTCCACTTAGTTACCCCCTGTAGTGGTCTAAATAATGATGTCATCACCCCCTGTCCATATCATGTCTCTCTTGTTTTACCTTAGCATGGTAAAATGGACTTTGAAGATCTGATTATGATAAGAATCATTAGGTAGGGAGATTATTTTGTATTATCCAAGTGGTCCCCAAACAAAATCACAAGTCCTTGTAAGGGAACTTAGAGTCGAATAAAAGACCACATGACAATGGAAACAAAGATTGGAGTGATATACTTTGGGGATGGAAGAAAGCTGCAAGTCAAGAAATGCTGGCCACCAGCAAGATAGAAAAGATGAGGAAATGGATTCTCCCCTGTGCCTACAGGAAAAAATCCTCGAGCTCAACCCAAAGAAATTGACCATAGACTCCTGATCTCCAGAACTCTAATAGAATAAATGTATCTTATTTAATCAGTGGTATTTTTTACAGAAGTAGTAAGAAACTAACACACCATCAAATTCTTGGATCATCTTTAGCTCCAAACCCAAAGTACTGAATCCCCTCAGTCCAGCTTAAGGACATTAGCTCCAGCACAGCTGGCTTCTTACCTGCAAGGGAATATTAAATATATCATAAGTCGTACAATGTGATGCCTCTCCTAATAGAAATGATCGTGGCTGATAGGATGTTTTAAGACAAGTACTTACTGTGTCAACTTCCATACTAACCATGTCTCCATTCCTCCTGAATCTTCCCAGTGAACTATAATCTTGGTATCTACTGTCTAAAAAGGTGAATGTCTTCATCATGAACCTCTAGATCCTCTCCCCTTCCTTCCCTACCCTGGTCTCTGCTATAGGAAGTGGGTTCCTATGGAGTACCTCAACAAACTCCCTTGATCTCTGGTACCAGTTGAGTTTCAGTGGGAGACAAAATCAAGAGATGAGGGGAATGAAGTCTCTAGCTCTCCCTCCTAGGCTTTCACAGGTTGACTACATTACTCTCCTAAAGTCACACTGTGTGTCAGGTAATGCTACAGAGAGCTTCTTCGCAGGTCTGAGCTCATGTTACCCCTGGAAGATTTCCCTTCATTTGTTGCATTTCTAAAATCCTCTCTGAACATCTGTAAATAGCCTCTGATGAAATATTCCTTTAAGAGCTGGAGATATGGCTCAGCAGTAAAGACATTGGACTGTTCTTGCAGAGGACCCAAATTCAGTTCCCAGTTCCCACTTCAGATAGTTTCCATTGCTTATAATTTTGGCCCCAGGGGATCTGAAGCCTCTGACCTCTGCAGGTGCTCATACCCCCCCCCACAGACACAGATACATAGTTAAAAATAAGTAAGTTTTTAAAAGAAAAGAAAATACCACTGAACAAAATAACATACAGAAAATAAAAAAGGTTTTTTATTTTTGATATTTTTATTGAGTTTTTGTGTATTTCATAGTATTCCCTAATTAAATTTAGACCCACCTCCCCCTCCTTGCGTCTCATGGCCTTCCCCCACCAGATTTCAGGTATTCTGTCATATATGCTAAGTCCTATCTGGTGATATTTCTATCCAGGTGTTCCTCTGTGCAAGTTCATCCACTGGTGTCTAGTCAGCCTATCTAGAGTCACTCCCTTAAAGAAGATCTACTCTCCCTCACTCCACAGTAATCATTGGCCAATAGTTCTTTGATGAGGGTTGGGGCCTGCTTCCTATTTCCCCCATTCTATGCTGGGTTTTTGTCTGATAGAGTTGGTATGTGTCTTGTGCATGCTGTCAACATTATTGCAAGTTCATATGAACAACTTTCCAGTGCCTGGAAGCCTTTGTTTCCTTATGTTCATGCACCCACCCTGGCTCTAACAATCCTTCTGCCCCCTCTTCCTCAATGGTCCCTGAGCCATGGATGGGTGAGATTTAATATAGGAGTCCTAGCAAGGGACGCATACTCTGAGTCTCTTATTCTCTAAAACTTAGCCAGTTGTGGCCTTCGGTGTGCATCACACTCTGTTGCATGAAGAGAGATGAGGGGTGTATTAGTATTCTCTCTATGCCCTGTTCTGCTATGTTCCATGAGCCTTAGGTGTTCCACTGTAGATGTGTCACTTAGGGTTGAGCATCTCTCAGACATACGTTCTCTGTGTGTGACTAGTTGTGGAACTCTGTAAGAGCCTCCATCTGTTGCAAAAAGAATCTTCTTTGATTATTTATATACAGTACTTTTGTCTGTAAATTCAGCATATGGTAAGGAATTTCATTTGTCTAGAGATATGATAGAGATAGGGTTTTCTCTAAGATCTATGACCTCTAGCCTTGCGTATTAGTCTGTATTTACAGTGCCACCCATGAGTTCCTTCCCATTGAGAAGACTTTAAGTCTGATTAGATAGCTGTTGATTACCCCCTAGAAAACAGTGCCTCTACTGTACCAATAGAGATATTTTGTTGTGCCAGTCATTGTGGCTATTAGAGTTTAGCACTGGACTGGACCACTGATTGATTTTTCTCCCTTAGCAGTTTGCAAAGTATCCTCTAGAACAGCAGCTTGCATAGGATCTAGAACTATGAGAGCTAGTCTTCAGGGAGAAGGCTTCCAGGTCCTTTCTAGCTCCATTACTCCAAGTCCTATGCCTGAAGTGTATCCTATCTTTAGCAGTAGGATCTTACCTTCAAGTTCTAGGAGGTAATCCAGAGCTGTGGCAATAGCCTGTGTCCTGTGTTCTTTTGGGAGTCTTTTCGACTAGTTTGACCAACAGTTTGAAGGTTTCTTCTGTCTAGCATTGTGTTCCTTGTTATATAGCCTTCAGCTATACACATGCACTCACGTTCAGATATTATATGTATATTTTTCAGGGTTTTATTTTTTTAGCTAATACATTTCTGTCTGGCTTAAAAATTTATTTTAGAAATTTAGTTTGCATTGTGTCATTTGGTTTCTGCCAGGACCCTTCCTTTTAATTTTCCCCACTTTATTGCTAAGGAAACTAAAGTTCAACCAAGTGCAAGATAATGACTTAAGGAGAAAGACAGGTTTCACCTATTTTCACTGTGGTAGGGAGCATTGCTGATGTCCTCATAACCTAAAAGAGAAAAGTCTTCTTCGTTTCTGCTAATGTCAGGCCTGGGATCACACGCACTTCATCAGTTTGCATTTTGCCGGTCTTCCTCTCTGTCTTAAACGTCGTGCTCTCATTTTATAGGTTTACCCGCTGTTATTTTTAATAATGTATGCAAATTTTGTGAAAATATGTTGTTTGCTATCTTGTTTTGATCATCTTGATACCACATTTTCCTGTTACACAAACATTTCAGAGTGTGGTTTGTTCTCAAAGACCGTGCCAATGGAGAGGAAATGTTTCTGAGAGGTGTCTGAGCTATATGTGGCCATTTTTGATCACGTCTGCGATTCTAACAGCTGTGTCCTAAATTAAGAAGAAGATGGGCATTTCTCCAGAGATGAACCAATTCATCAAGAACTCATCTTGCACATAGTATAAAACTTTAATAATTTAGCTCTACTAGTGGGTTGGCCAGGCTGAAAAATGTTGTTGAATGAAATGTATTGATGGCTTTGAAAAACAAACAAGAACTTGAACTAGGTAAATAGCACATGGCCAAGCACAGTTCTCAGGAAATCTGCCTGAATGAGCAGCTAAGAAGGATTCATAATTGGTATATCAATTATTTCTATGGGAGTGGATGTTTTATGATGCTTAAGGATACTTAAAAAGTTTGTTCTCATAAGTAATTTAAACATTCCTCTTGAAACACTGTTTGCACTGTTAATTTATTTAACAAATTAATCACAGAATCATAACATTTTAGAACTGAAATAGACCTCAGAGAAAATCCAGTGCAGCTCTTCTTGTGCAAACAGAGTCTTCAATCACTCGTAGCTCCAAGCTCACTGTACAAGGGCAAGTCTGGGACATGCACCCTCAATTCAGCTCCAGTTCCTGAGACACTGGCTCCAGCACAGCTAGCCCCTTCTTGCCTTCAGGGAGAGACCAAATGTACCCTATTGTGCTGTACAACACTCCTCTCACTGCCCCTGCCCCAATACAGCCTTGTACTGATCGACTTTTCACTATCTTTTCCACCAGAGCTAAGCCTGTTTGTGCTTTATGGTCCCATAGTTTGCCATTCTCTTCCCCCCATAAGACTCTAAAGAGGAACAGCTCTACCAGTCCTCCAGTCTGCACACACACACACACACACCCTCTCTCTCTACCCCTCTGAAATTCCCATCCCACTGGCTTTTGCTCATTAACAACAAAGCTCAAGATCCATGTGAATGGAGTACTCCTTGGTAGCATTCTTTTTTTAAGGAATAATTGTAATTTATTCTTCAACAAGTTCACACATGTATACAATATGTCTTGGTCATATCCACCCCTAATTCCCCCTCCCATTACCAGCTTCTTCCCCAGCAGTGTCCTCCTCCCACCTGTATGTCTTTATTTTTTCATTCTTGAAGTTCCCCCCTCCTGTGGCTTCTTTTCACTTCACAACACTGATGATCCTTCCCAGTTTTCCCTCTGTTATCATCTTCTCTTCCCATTCTATAATTTCTATGGAAAATTGAAATCACTTCCCCCCCTTCCTCGGTGATCTGTAGACTGTTTATACTCTCAGATTTCAACCTCTGGCTCACATTTTTCTCCTGAGTTCCTAACTACCTACAGACACCTTCTGAAGTTCCACAGCCCTCCAAATTCGACAAAGACAAAAGGAGCTCTCCTTCCCCACAAATATGCTTCCCACATGGTTTTCTTTCTGTAAATAGCAGCAGTATCTTCACATAGGTGCCTAGACTCAAATACAACAGTTATTAGGCCCCTCTATCAATGGCTCTCCATTGCCTCCAAGGCAAAAGACAATCTCCTTAGCATAACCTGTATTGGAGAAGCACTGAGCTCCGATAGCTGTCTACCTTGGCAGCTTCATCTCTTACAGCTCAAACCCACTCCACATACCAATTTTCTGTGACCCTTAGATGAATATTATCTTATTCCAAGAGTCAGTTCAAACATTATGCGCTCTATAAAACTTTCTGTCACCTACTTGTCTCTCTTTCAAAGACTCAGTCTCTCCATGGCCTCCATCTGTGACTTTCAACTAAGCACGTTTATTCATTCATAAACTTCTTTTTTAATTAATTAATTTTATTTTATGTGTATGAGTGTTTTGCCAGCATATATGTTAAATGGAAGAGGACACTGGATCCCCTGGAACCAGAGTTATGGACACTTGTTAGCTGCCATGTGGGTGCTGAGAATTGAACCCGGGTCCTCTGCAAGAGCAGCCAGTGCCCCTAACCACTGAACCATCTCTCCAGTCCCAGCTTCTTCTTCTATATAGGATTAAAAGTATCTTCGCTCAGAAAGAAAGAGTACATGGAGTTGTCAGAAAAAAAGTGAAGGGGAGATATAGCAGGTGTTGGAGGGGAGGGAACAGGCATAGATTTGATCAAAACATTTTATATGCATGTATGAAATTCTCAATAAAGTTTTTTTAAAAGTTAAAAAAAAGTATCTTCACTCATGGAAGTGGTCTTGATGTCCACTGGATTTCACATAGACGTATACAAAAGTTGCATAAAAAGACTGACATTAGG